ATTACCATTTTTTACTTTGTTGTTGAAACTGTGCCAACTTTGGCCATTTGGGTCTCCTTCAATTTGGCTCGTGTTCTTTTCAACATGTCCTAACCATTTTATTCTTTTTAAAAAAGGCTTTTTATTGATTTTTAGAGAGAAAGGGACGGAGGGAGGGAGGGGAGGGAAAGGGAGGGGGGGAGCGAGAGCGAGAGCGAGAGCGAGAGAGAGAGAGAGAGAGAGAGAGAGAGAGAGATTTATGTGAAACAGCATCAATTGGCTGCCTCCTATATGCCCCCTACCAGGGACTGAGCCCACAACCAAAGCATGTGCCCTGACCAGGAATGGAATCAGCAAACTTTTGGTGCTTGGTACGAAGCCCAACCAACTGAGGCACGAGCCAGGGCACATCCCATCCTTTTTTTATTATATTCTTACTATTTGGCAAAAAGGTTCCAGGCTCATCTTAAGCTTTTCAGTCCTAGCCAGTCCTCAAGAGTGGCTCAGTTGGTTTAGCCTCGTCCTTCATACTTAAAGGTTGCCTTTGCTTCCCAGCCAAGAAACATACCTGGGTTGAAGGTGCAGAAGGCAACCAATCAATGTTTCTCACAACAACGTTTCTCTCTCTCTTTCTCTCAATATGTCCTCAGGTGAAGATTAAAAAAAAAGTAAAGAAAGAAATAAAGTTAATCCTCACTGAGGTAATTTTTCCATTGATTTTCAGAGAAAGTGAAAGGAAGGGGGAGATACTAAGAGAGAAACATCATTGTGAGAGAGAAATGTCAATTGGTTGCCTTCAGTGCATGTCCGGCCGAGGTACATGCAACCAAGGTACATGCCCTAGACTGGAATCAAAACCAGGACCCTTCAGTCCACGGGCTGACACTCTATCCACTGAGCCAAAACAGCTACAGATAGAGAAAGGTGTTTTGAAACAAAAATCTGGGCACTAGATGGGCCCACCGTTTCTGAGGCATCACTGCTTCAAGATAGAACTATAAAATAATGAATGCGCCTGGACACCCACATATACACACATCGATATTTCTGTATTTGTCTAAATTAAATACTACAAAATTCATACTGACACCTCTGATCCTAATATGACAGAAGATCATTTTAATTTTAGCCCTGCTCTTTTCTTTCTCCAACACTGAGAAACCTGGGTCTCATTATCTATATTTACTCATGTGTTCAATTTTAAAAGTATATACATTTATTCTCATTAAAGACCTAAATAAAGATAAAACAAACATACAAATAAAGTAGTTTCAGAATTGCTAACACATCATCTCAGTGAAAAACACCAACTACATTATATTGTTCTTTTTGTCATTGGCCTATAGTATCCAATCAAGATACTGTTTTCCAAAGTTATTTAGATTCCTTATTTTCTTTCCCATCTGCTTTCAGTGTGATATTTTCCAGTTGAAATATAGTTAGGTACATTTGTTATGTTTGTCTTCTTTTTTGTTGTGATTTCAGAGGGAAAGGGAAAGGGTGAAGAGAGAGAGAAAATCAATGATGAAATCATTGACTGGCTGCCTCCTGCACACCCCCTACTGGGGATCGAATCCACAATCCAGGCATGTGCCCTGGCCTTCATAGGTCAATGCTCAACCACTGAGCAACACTAGCTAGGTCATTTGTTAGGTTTGTACTCTATTTTGGGTTCTCCAAAATTCTCTTTGGTTTTAATTTTTTATTTTTTCAGCACATGAAGGGTAGGGTACTAATTTTAAAAGCCTAGCTGTCAAGCATGGTGAGCCCTGGAGGGTATTATGCTAAGTGAGTAAGTGAGTCAGAGAAAAACAAACACAATATGAGTTCACTTATATGTGGAAGCTAAAGAACAAAATAAACAAACAAAATTGAAACAGATTCATAGATTCAGAGAATACACCAATAATTGCCAGAAGGGAGGGAAGGTGGGGGACTGGGTGAAAAAGGTGAATGGATTAACAAGTACAAATTGGTAGTTACAAAATAGTCATGGGGCCCTGGCCAGTGTTGCTCAGTTGGTTGGAGCATCATCCATGGACCAAAGGGTCACAGGTTTGATTCCAAGTCATAGCACATACCCAGGTTTTGGGTTCAAACTCCAGTTGGGGCACATATAGGAGGTAACCAACCTGTTCCTCTCTCTCCCTTCTCCCTGTAAAAATCAATGAAAAGCATGTACTTGGGGGAGGATTAAAAAATAATAAAATAAAAAGTCATAGGGATGTATAATACAGCATAATAAATATAATCAATAGTACTGCAATAACTATATAGTACCAGGTAGGTACTGAAATATAGGAGGAACACTTTGTAAAGCATGATTGTTAGGTCTAACCATTATTGCTGTTCACCTGAAACTAATCTAATAATATTGAATGTAAACATAAATTGAAAAATAAAAAAAATTTTAAAAAAACCACTACTGTGGTCATATTAAATGAGTTTAAATTGGTTTTAAAAAATAAAAATCCTAGCTGTCAAACAGTCATACATTCCGTGGTTCTTGAACTTCTCCCATCTCAAACAATTTGGTTCTAGACCAAGTTGTTTGGCAAGGGGGTGGGGGGTGGGGGGGCGGCGGATGGAAAAGGGACCTGTTAAAATGTCTTTTGTTAACTTTGGTATACTGACACCCCTTTCATGCTGATTCATCAGCATGACAAAGCAAAAACAAAGGAGAGTGTGCCCAGGTGAGTCAATATACAGCTAAACCTCTCCTTGTTAACATCTCAGGAAATTGTGCTATAAATATTTTGGGGTGGTTTGTATTTGTTCTTTTGGGGTTTTTGTTTTGTATTGTTGTTTTTTGCTTTTCTTACTGGCCAAATGGACTGATTAACACAATTTTAAAACATAAGGAGGTTATCAAGAATGCTAATATTGCCCTGACCAGTGTTGAATAGTGGTTAGAGCATCAGCCTGACCACAGGAGGGTCATCAGTTCAATTCCAAATCAAGGGCACTTATCTGGGTTGCAGGTTCAATCCCCAGCCCAATTCAGGGGGGCAACCAATAGATGTCTCTCTCACATCCATATTTCTCTCTCCTTCCTCCCTTCCCTCTCTAATAAATCAATGAAAAAAAATATCCTCCAGTGAATATTAACCCCCCCAAAAAAAGTGTTAATGTTGCCCTGGCCAGTGTAACTCATTTGGATTGACATCGCCCACTGCACCAACAGGTTGCTAGTTTCATTCTCAGTCAGGGCACATGACCAGGTTGTAGACTCGGGGCTTGCAGTAGACAACCGATCGATGATTTACTCTCCCATCGCATCGATGTGTCTCTCTCTAAAAATCAATTAAAAAATCTTAAAAAAAAAAAAAAGAGTGCTAATGTTGCTAAGGGTGTGAAAGAAACAATGATCACAGGCAATTAAAGAGGTAAAAAAAAACTGTTGACTTGGAATAAGCGACAGCATTTCAGAAATAATGATATGTGAAAAAGCGAAGATGCCTCATACTGACCTCCTGAAAGACACCCCTGGAACCAGTGTTGAAAATTATTTAAGGCTAGTAAAGGGTAGTTCAATAAATTTAAGAAAATAAGTGTTTGCTTATAGATTAAACAGTACTTTAGACATACTGTACATAGAAACATTTAAACAGAATCATTTGGGATCTGAAACGAGTTAAATACAATTTATATTATTTCTAATGGGAAAAAATGATTTTAGTTTTCGAAAATATCCCTTCTCGAACAACCTGCTGGAATAAAGGTTCCACTCTATCACTGTAAGTGAAAGCTGAATTCAGATAAGGTTTTTTGTTAAAGAAGGGGAGGATTCTTTTTCATTGTAAAAGTAGAAGAGACTTTAACACATTCACATAAAAAAGAAGATACAAGAGCGAGCCAGAATAAAGGTCTCTCATGTAAGGAGTTCATGTGGTGAGTTGTATACAATGAGGACTCTGAAGCTTTAGGGAATCCCAGAATCACTTAGAGCAGTGGTTCTCAACCTTCCTAATGCCGCGACCCTTTAATACAGTTCCTCATATTGTGGTGACCCCCAATTTCATTGTTACAAATTGAACATAATTAAAGCATAGTGATTAATCACAAAAACAATATGTAATTATACATGTGTTTTCCAATAGTCTTAGGCAACCCCTGTGAAAGGGTCATTCGACCCCCAAAGAGGTCTCGACCCACAGGTTGAGAACCGCTGACTTAGAGACTTTATTAAAGCTCTGTCCCTACAGTTTATGAGGAGAGGTTTCAGACTTTCTAACCATTCCCCCAGTTAGAATACTGGTGTGGCCAGGTCAAGTACTACAATTTGAGAATAAGTAGGTTAGAGTAAAATCATAGTAGTTCCAAGATGTAAACATATATACAAACCAGATACAAAGTTGGAAAAAATGAACTAAAATATACTGAATACTACCTATTCCCAGACTATGAAGACACTTTACACTCATTCAAGGTTTTTTACTTTCTTCTTTATTTTTTATTTCCCATGAGCACCTTACTTCCTATATAAGAACTTACTACACTTTTATAGTACTTTCAGAAACAAATTTTAAGTTTGCTTTAATTTACCATAACTTCGTTCGTAACATTTCCTAATTATTATGATTTTTAACTTTTAAGAGTAACATTTACCTCATATTTCACAATTAAATATTACAGGTACATGGAAAGATGTTTCAGAAGCACAAAGATGCATAAAGGAATTCATATCATTGTCATACACAGGCAAAAAATTAAAACTAAGAAAATACAGTAAATCATAGTGCATGCTTACAATAAATTGTATGCAGTAATGCCTAGGCCCCATATGAAAAGTCACAGTGTATGCCATCCAAGTGTCAATAACCAGCTAAAAAATCCTAAGAATAACAAAAAAAAATATGCGACTTTGTGGAATAAATCCCTAAGTATAGTCAAAAATGGACAATTTTGTTTGTATTTTCCAACTTGTACAATTTGTTTACACTGGGAGGGTGATGTTTTATTAGTAACACACAAGAACTATGTGTATTCACATCTATGTTACAATGTATTTTTTTTTTTACCTCAGTTGTATCTGCTTCCGTTTTTGCAGCTCTTGGTTTCTGAGTTCTTCCAGGCGTCTGAGTTCTTCTTGACGCCTCATTAAATCTATAAAATATTGATTACCCATTAATATTTTAGCTTGCCTTCTGTACTTTTTTATCAGTGAGCATATAGACTCTCTATTATGGGCAATATACATAATAATTTATTCATATTCATGCAAAATTCATAATTTATTCTCATTCATGTCATTATTATATAACCTTATAATTAAAGATTATAAGCTGTGTAATTAATAAAATTAATAAGCTTCCTGGGCCTGTTTCTTCATGTGTATTAAGACAATAATAAAATTCATCCTTTTCTTCAGAAATTAAAATAGGTAAGATATTTTTAACATAGGGGCTAAAAAATACTAAAAACAGAATAAATGATAGCTGTATTTCACTTACACCTTTTAAACAAATCAGAATTTTTCCGTTGCAAGTGCAAAACCCAAAAAGATGCTTTGGGAGACATCAGCAGAGGGCATGTAAGAACCACACCAGACAAACAGTAGGTATAGCGGTTATACACTGAGCATCCCTCCCAACACAATTAGTGTGAAATTCCTCCTACACTAAGTCAGTGTCTTATAAAAAAGAGCAATGAGGAAAGAATTCCTGAGAGAGGAAAAAGGCTGAATGAACAAGATCATTTTAAACAAGATAAACAAAGCACTCCACTCCCACTGGCACTATACTTGCTATATCAAGAACAGGAGTTCCACAATAATGTAAGATAACAAAAAGTGTATTTGTGTTGAGAAGTAGATTAACTTTCCAAATGTAAAAATCTTTGTAATATCTTACCAAATTATGTGTGCATACAAGCAAAGACTAAAAAATATCAAAATAATAAAATACTCTGAATGGCACAATTATTGGTTGCTTTTATTTTCCTTGTCTCTCATCATGATACCGGGATTTCTAAAATAAACATAAATTATTTCAATTTTAACATTTCGTAATAAATCACTACATTCAGAACTTACATAATATTAACAGTTCCAGTTAACTTTCTATGTGACAATAACCCTATCATCATAACCATAACAGGACTGGAATCACAGCCCTAACAAGGTAAATATTATCATGTCATCTTATAGATTGGAAACATATTGTGTATTATCCCCTCTCTCCCCAAAAATAATTCAAATAGATTATAAATGTATTCTAGCCATTCAGCTATTGCTCAGTTCAGCAGGAATACACAGCCAAATCTATCCTAATTACAAAGCTCTTTCCAAAATGCCAGTGCCCCAAACCTGGATAATCAGAAACAGTGGGAAACTTAAAAAATATAAATTAAAAAACAGATTTTAGGACTCTTTCAGAAAAGTCAGTTTTGGCATATGGAATAGGGACCAGGTAATTTTAATAACATACCCGATGAGATAACACTTAGTTATCTTAAAGAATATCAAATATGACTAAAATGATTTCAAACAGTTACACAATTAGTTGTCAACCATAACTAACTGCTAATTAGAATTACTTAAATACCTTTTAATCACAGACCAATTAAATGAAAATGTCTTGGCAAGTGGACCAGACATCAGTATTTTTTTTAACCTCCATGACTCCATTGTGCAACCAATATTGAGAGCTACACAACTATCACATAATTACTTTAGTGGGAGAAATCTAAAATATATAATCAACTTATATTCCTAAGAGGAAAGCCTATATAATAAAAGGCTAATATGCAAATTTTCCCCATGCACTGACCACCAGGGAGTGGCGCATAATGAAGGCAGGCCCTGATCCGACCTGATCGCCAGCTGGGCCTGGGGACCCTACCCGTGCATGAATCTTGTGCACCCGGACTCTAGTTCTTCAATACGCCAAGCCAAGAAAAATGTCCTACTATCATTAAGTATCCAAGAAAGTCAATCCAGTATAGCCTGTAAAAATTTATCACACCTTTGTAATTTTTGTAGTTTTTAAGACTACCTACCATTTCTATAATAAAAACATAATATGCTATTTAGACTGGACAACCTTTTGGATGACTTTCCAGAAGAAGCCAGGACTGTGAGGGAAACCCGGGTCCTGGGTACATGCTGGTGGCCGAGGGAAGCCTGGGTCCCGGGTGCCAGAGGGAAGCCGGTGCTGGTAGCCAAGGAAGAAAGGCCTACTCTTGCACAAATTTCATGCATCGGGCCTCTAGTATAATTATAAATGTAAAAATATGCATTACAACCCTAATCCGTGTTCTCAATGGTTAGAGCGTCAGTCCAAGCACCAAAGGGTCGTGGGTTTGGTTCCCAGACAAAGGATCAAATGCCAGACCCCAGTCGGGGTGAGAGCAGGAAGCAACCAATAGATGTGTCTCTCTCACATAGGTGTTTTTCTCCTCCTCTTCCCCTACTCCCTCCCTTCCTCTCTCTCTCTCTCTCTTTTTTTTTTTTTTTTACAGGGAGGAAGGGAGAGGGAGAGAGAGTTAGAAACATCGATCAGCTGCCTCCTGCACACTCCCTACTGGGGATGTGCCCACAACCAAGGTACATGCCCTTGACTGGAATCGAACCTGGGACCCTGGAGTCCACAGGCCGATGCTCTATCCACCGAGCCAAACCGGTTAGGGCTCCACTATCTCTTAAAAAAAAAAAAAAAAAATTAACTCTCTCTCTAAAAAATATCAATGGGAAAAAATATCTTCTGTGAAGTTTAACTATATGCAGTGGTTCTCAACCTGTGGGTCACGACCCCTTTGGGGGTCGAACAACCCTTTCACAGGGGTCGCCTAAGACCATTGGAAAACACATATATAATTACATATTGTTTTTGTGATTAATCACTATGCTTTAATTATGTTCAATTTGTAACAATGAAATTGGGGGTCACCACAATATGAGGAACTGTATTAAAGGGTCGCGGCATTAGGAAAGTTGACAACCACTGACTATATGTATATGCATTACATTTTTGTCCATGAAAAGGAATAAGAAAAGACCATGACTGTTTGTTTTCTGACAACTGGATCTTCTCCTTTTAAGATGTGCCAGTTGATAAAGCTGCTTTAACCTCTCGGTTCACATTTTCTTACCTGTAACTTTGGTATAATAATTAGTTCAAAGGACTGGACAATGCAATTATCAGATAAGTGTATTATCTGATACTAAGTAGGCACAATATCAACTTAAAACTACCATTTTACATTTACTGAATTGCTTTAATTTAGATGAGAGAGAGAGAGCAGGAGGGCAGGGGAGGAGAGAGAGAGAAGGAGAGAGAGAGAGAGAGAGAGAGAGAGAGAGAGAGAGAGAGAGAGAGAAAGAGAGAGAAAAAGAAAAAAAACTGATTTGTTGATTCTTGTAGTATGTGCCCTGACCAGGGATTGTATCCACAAACTTCCTGGCATACTGGGACGATATTCTAACCAACTAAACAAACCGTCCAGGACCTAAATTATTTAAGTTTTGTTAATATCCAAAGTTGCTAAAGTTGCACTAAAGTGTATATATCTGTACACTGCAATAACATCCTTCTCGGGGTAAATTACCAAAAATATATATAACTAGATATGTTTTTATCCTTTGATCCAGTAAATCATACCCTTATAGGAATCTTTCTTAAAAAAATAACCCAAAGTTCCCTGACCAGTTTGGCTCAGTGGGTAAAGCGTTGGCCCATGAACCAAAAAATCTCAGCTCTGATTCCCAGTCAAGAGCAGTAAAAAAATAAAAATAAAAATACTTTTGCCAGGCTAGCGTGGCTCAGTGGTTGACCTAGGACAGTGATGGCGAACCTTTTGAGCTCGGCGTGTCAGCATTTTGAAAAACCCTAACTTAACTCTGGTACTGTGTCACATATAGAAATTTTTTGATATTTGCAACCATAGTAAAACAAAGGTGTATATTTTTGATATTCATTTTATATATTTAAATGCCATTTAACAAAGAAAAATCAACCAAAAAAATGAGTTCGCATGTCACCTCTGACACGCGTGTCATAGGTTCGCCATCACTGACCTAGGAACCAGGAGGTCATGGTTCAAGTCCCAGTCAGGGCACATGCCCAGATTGCAGGCTCCATCCCTAGTGGCAGGTATGCAGAAGGCAACCGATTAATGTTTCTCTGTCATCAGATTTTTATCTATTTCTCCCTCTCCCTTCCTCTCTGAAATCAATGAAAATATCTTTAAAAAAATTTTTTAAACTAACAGATGAAAAGATGTAATAAAGCAAGAATGGTAAAATGTTAACAACAGAATCTAAGTAGTGAGCACCTTAATATTCTTTCAAGTATTTCATTTAAGATTCCTCATAACAAAAATTTTGGGGGAAACATGTACTGGGTAAATTACTAGACTTTAAAAAGAAAAAATTCACATGAAAGCCTGCTGCAAGGATCAAGTCACTTGTAAGGGGGTGGGGGGGCGGAGGGAATCCAGGCTTATTTCAGACTTCCTCACAGAAACATTCAATACTAGAAGACAATGAGACATGCTATCAAGTACTTAAGAAATAGAGGGGATGCCGAAACCGGTTTGGCTCAGTGGATAGAGCATTGACCTGCGGACTGAAAGGTCCCAGGTTCGATTCCGGTCAAGGGCATGTACATGGGTTGTGGACACATTCCCAGTGGGAGATGTGCAGGAGGCGGCTGATCGATGTTTCTCTCTCATCAATGTTTCTAACTCTCTATCTCTCTCCCTTCCTCTCTGTAAAAAATCAATAAAATATAATTTAAAAAAAAAAAAGAAAGAAAGAGGGGAGAAAAAATATGAATTTTTACCATTCAAGTGCCAGTTTAAAGTACACAGAGTACTTCCGGAAGATTGTTTCTGTAAACCCTTCTTTAAAAAATTATGAGGGTAAACATCAGACAATTAAGTGATGAACAGAAACATCATGCCTCAACCTATTTAAAATAAGGTTAAGATTTAAACACATATAAGGATTATTGTTAAAGATCATTAAAACAGAATGCTAAAGAGCTAGCATCGCAGCATTATTCACACTAGCCAATATATGGAAAAAAACTAAGATCTGTCATCAGATGACTGGATCATGAAGACATGGTATAAGGGACATAAATGCTAATGAAGTGGTGAACTTGGAGTGAACACACAATACAATATATTATAGAACTGATGTATTATAGAATTATACCCTAAAACCTATATAATTTTACTAACCAATGTCACACCAATAAATTCAATAAAATACATCCTATATAATAAAGAGGTAATATGCAAATTGACCACACAGATGGCCTGCAGGGGAGGGCAGTTAGGGGTGACCAGGCCTGCAGGGGAGGGCAGTTGGGGGGACCAGGAGGCCTGCAGGGGAGGGCAGTTAGGTGCTGGCAGGGGAGTGGTTAGGGGGTGATCAGACTGGCAAGCAGAAGCGGTTAGGGGCAATCAGGCAGGCAGGCAGGCGAGCGGTTGGGAGCCAGCAGTCCTGGATTGTGATAGGGATGTCCGATTGCCCGTTTAGGCCCGATCCCACAGGGCCTAAAGGGGCAGTTGGACATCCCTCGAGGGGTTTCAGATTGGAGAGGATTCAGGCTGGGCTGAGGGACACACTCCCACCCCCACGCATGAATTTTTTCGTGCACTGGGCCTCTAGTATATATATAAAAGATGTGGTGTATATGACACAATGTGATCCATATACAGTGGGGCCTTGACTTACGAGTTTAATTCGTTCCGTGATGGAGCTCGTAACTCAAATTACTCGTATGTCAAATCAATTGTCACCATTACAATGAATTGAAATGCCATTAATCTGTTCTGGACACCCAAAAAACACCGCAATTGTTTTGTTAAATGTTTTTAAATTAGAAAAATGTATTTAAAAATAACGAATATTGTATAAAAACACAATACTGAACAATATAATGTAGTGCAATAAACTTGTTTTATTAAGTTTAATGTACAGCATTTACCTTAGAGATCAAACAACTTAAAGATGCTGATGGAGTTGGAGGAGAAAGGCTGAACTGAATAACTGAATAACTGAATCTTATTTGCTGATTTTTGCCCTTCTCGCCACGCTTTCATCACATTCATCTACAGGAGCTTTCAATAAAAACCTGTCCAATGAGATCTGTTTCATCCTCCCTTTCAGAATATTTCTAAAATGAGTTAGGCAAGCGTCATTAAATAGCTCCATCGCACACCCAGATGCAATTTTTTCTGGGTGTTTCTTTTGAAAAAAGTCTGAAAGTTTCTCCCACATTTCCAACATTTCCTTTATCTCACTTATAGAGATAACCTCCTCCTCCTCCTCCGTGTCATCTATTTCCTGCAAAACCTCCGTGTGCTGCTGCATCTGTAGCTCCTTTAGCTCCTGCGTTGTCCTCGGAGTGCTTCTCGATGAGCTCGTTGATGTCACCTTCCTTTATATCCGCGCTCGCTGCCTCACCATGTCTGACAACAGACTGAATGCCGGTCCTCTTTTTAAAATTTTCGAGCCAGCCCCAACTGGCTTTAAACGGCTCGCCTGATGCCTCGTCCATTGATGTGCCTGGGGTCTGCTGCATCAAATTAGGGTAAATAAGCTCGTGCCTTCTCGCATAGCCTTCGTCACAGTACCTCCTGCGAGCTGCTTCTCCGTTAACCACACCATTAGCAGCTTCTCCATATTTTCATGGATAGATGTCCGCTGTTTAGAAATTATTTTAACGCCCTTGGCTGGAGTTGTAGCCTGTATCGACTCCTTCTGCTTCAGTATGGTGCAGATCGTAGAAGTGCTACGCTTGTACTGCTTTGCCAAGTAGATTACACGCACACCTTGGTCATGTTTTTCAATAATTTCTTTCTTTAATTCAATGTACATCATCCGCTTCTTCTTCTCAGCACTGTCCTTCCCACTTACTTTCTTCAGATCCATGGTTGAAAAAACGAAGTTTTGCAAAATAACTGCAAGCACAAATGCGAGCACAACATTGATGCTTCAACTAAGAGCTAACCGCTTAAAGTGAACCAGTGAGACACGTGATGCTGGGCTGATGTTCTGGCGTTCACTGTGCCAACTAGCGGTGGGGTATCTAAAGCTGGCTCGTAACCCGAATTTTAGCTCACAACTCAAAGCAAAAAATCAGCCGAGAGACGGCTCGTATCTCGAAAAACTCGTTAGTCGGGACACTCGTAAGTCAAGGCCCCACTGTATATATAGACAAACACATACACACCTATATACACAATATAAAAAATATAGATATGCATATACATACACATAATGGAGTATTATTCAGCCACTAGAAATACATGTATTTTAACAAATGTTTTTTAATATGTTTTTATTGATCTGAGAGAGAGAAGGAGAAAGAAACAGCAAATGGCTGCCTCCTGCATGCCCCCTACTGGGGATCATGCCTGCAACCTGGGCATTTACACTGACCAGGAAAAGAACAGGTGATGTTCTGGTGCAGGGGATGATGCTCAACTGAGCCAGACAGGTAAGAGCAATCTTAGCAAATTTTTATAAATGCTGATATCCTGCCATTTGAAACAATAAGGATGAACCTGAGGGCATTATGCTCAGTGAAATAAGCCAGAGAAAACACTACATGGCATAACAAGTCTGGAATCTAAAATAAGTCAAACTCATAGAAACAACAGAGTACAAAAGTGGTTGCCACAAACTTTCAGCTAAAAGATGAGTGAGGTCTGTGGATTTAATCTATAACATGGTGACTAGAGTTGGTAACACTGTATCATATAATTAAAAACTGATTAAAGAGATTAGAACTTAAAGGTTCTCACAAATAAAAAAAGTCACCTTTAAAAATTTTAAAAATTAAGTCAATGTAATAAATCTACATAAATTGGAAACAAAATTAATAGAAGTAAAGGGGAAAAGAGAGAGAAAGGAGGAGCTAAATATGCCTATTTTGTTGTTCTTTTTGCTTCGGTAACCAGGAACCAAAAGATATCATTTAAAGGAAAGAAATGTACTTCTATTACTTGATTTATCAGTACAAATGCATACAAAAATAGTATTAACATAGTCAAAAAAGTCTAGTGGTACAGGAGTGGAGAGCAATAGCAAAATGCATGGCAGGGTTAACGCTCTCCACTGAGAGTTATATAATTACACTAGAGGTTGTGCACGAAATTCATGCAGGGTAGGGTCCCTAACGGCTGACGGCTGTGGCCTTGCTTCCCAGGCTGCCAGCTGCCACCCGGGGCCTTCCTTCATCCCGCGCTGCCCCCAGGTGGTGAGCACACATCATAGCGAGTGATCGAACTCCCGGTCAGTCGAACTCCCGAGGGGATATTTTGCATATTAGGCTTTCTATATAATAAAAGGCTAATATGCAAATCAACCAAAAGGCTGAACAACTGGTCACCATGACGCACACTGACCATCAGGGGGCAGACGCTCAATATAGGAGCTGCCCCCTAGTGTTCAGTGCGCTCCCACAGGAGGAGCACTGCTCAGCCAAAAGCCGGGCTCACAACTGGCGAGCGCAGCAGAAGCCTATCCTGCCTCTGTGGCAGTGCTAAGGACCCCTCGGGGTCCTGGACTGTAAGAGGGCGCAGGGCGGGCTGAGGACCATGCCCTCTCCCCTCCCCCCCGCAAGTGTATGAATGTCCAGTAAATTTGACCAGTAAATTATGACTGCTCTTAGAAATTCAGTTAGCTTTGTCTCTAGTGTTTAATAGTCTTCCTAAATCATATCCACCAGTACACATGAATCTTTTCTTTTCAATTTAAAAAAAATAATTTTATTGAGGGCGCAGAGAAACATCAATGAGAGAATATCACTGATCATCTACCTCCTGCACGACCCCTACTGGGAATAGAGCCCACAACCCAGGCATGTGCCCTTGACCGGAATTGAACCTGGGACCCTTCAGTCCACAGGCCGACGTTCTATCCACTGAACCAAACGTCTAGGGCATGAATTTTTTTTATCTCTGTCAAAGAATATTCATTTGTAATCTTTTCACACGTGGTAATAATCTTAAATAGCCAACATTTGGCATAATTCCTTACACAAAAATAAAACAAACAAGAAACAATCTTTATAACATTATCTATATACCAAAAATTATCTACTTTCCTGATTTTTGTCAGCAGAATCATGTACTTTCTACGAGCAAAATTTAACAGCAGCCTTAATTACCTCCAACAACACTACTTGTGTAGGAAAAATATATTTTTTTATAAGGACATTCTCTCAGAAAAGGGAGAATGTTGTTTCTAATATGTTGAGTTCCAACTGTCTCTAAACTAAGTAGCAATTTAAATAGTAATAGCCGTTACTGGGAACTACAAATAAGCCTTAAGGAAAAAAAAAACCCATCTACATGAACCCACCTTACCTTGTCTCATCAACATCAACTGGTGCTCATGCCTGGCTGCTTCCATTTCTGCCTCCAGCTTCTCTTTGGCTTCTCTGATGTTTCTGTCGACCTGCTCACGCTGCTGCTTCTCCATTTCGTCAAGAGCCTTCCATCTAGATGCATACTCAAATTCAAATGTCCCAGGTTGAGCAAAACGTGGTGGCTGTTCTCTTTCCCTACGTTTACAGTTAAAAACATACAGAAGTGTATGTTTAAAAGGTAAAACAGCTAAAAATAAAAGAGCATCATTTACTGAGCACTCACAATATTCACGGCACTGTCAGGAAAATACTCTACCTGAATTGCCTCGTGGAAATACTATGATGCAGATTTTAAAAAGCCTGATTTTGAGAAACTGCCCAAGAATGCCGCAATAATAATGGAATCAGAATTCAAAGCTATGCAATAGGATACTAAACCTGTACTCCCCTAATAATCACCTACATTAAGGCCTTTCTAGTATTCATTCAACAAACAATTTTACATAATGAATCTGCAACATATGAATCCAATATGTCCTAAGTTAATTGTCTGGAATCAATTTATTTTCCCCTTTTAAGTAGTAACTTTTAGGGATAGTAGTAAAAGCATGTAATAGATTACTAAATTTTTTTTTAAATATATTTTATTGATTTTTCATAGACGAAGGGAGAGGGATAGAGAGTTAGAAACATCGATGAAAGAGAAACATCAATCAGCTGCCTCCGGCACATGCCCTACTGGGGACATGCCCGCAACCAAGATACATTCCCTTGACCGGAATCGAACCTGGGACCCCTCAGTCCTCAGGCCCATACTGTATCCACTGAGCCAAACCAGTCAGGGCAAGCTTACTAAATTTTATGTGCCAGGCTAATTGGCTAGGCCAAAATATAAATACCTAACATACTACAATTGTAGTTATTTGTTCAATACTCGTTTTCCTTGCTATTCTGTGAACTCAATAAAGACATGAAATGTCTGTTAACAGCTGTACCACAATGCATACATTTATTATTTACTAGAGGCCGGGTGCACAAAATTCGTGCATGGGTACGGTCCCTAGGCCTGGCCTGGCTGGCGATCAGGGCCAACCTGTGGAGTGACCAGCGGGGCGATCGGGGGCCCCCGCTGGCACCCACCTTGGCCAGCCGGGCACCGCCCGCTTGCCCCTCTGTGGGAGGCAACAGGCAGGGCGACCAGCAGGGTAATTGGGGGACCCCCGTTGGCATCCACCTTGGCTGGCCTGGGGCCTGAGGGCTGGGGGCAGCTCCTGCGCTGTGTGTCTGCCCCCTGGTGATCACTGCGCATCATGGCAACTGGTCATTCCACCAAAGGGTCCCAGGTTTAATTCCCAGGCACGAACCTTGGTTGCAGGTTCAATCTACAGGGCGCATGTGGGAGGCAACCAATAGATGTGTCTCTCTCACTTCAATGTCTCTCTCTCCCTCTCCCGCCCCCCACCCCCGCCTTCAAGCTCTCTAAAAATCAATGGAAAAAGTATCCTCTGGTGAGGATTAACAAACAAACAAACGAAAAAAAAAACAAAGCCACACTCCTCTGCTCCCTAGCACCCACTTTTCCCAGTCTTTGTCACCATATTTGTTTTACTTATATTATTGGTTACCCATTTTACCACCCCTCACAGCATGAATTTCTAGTCTATTTTGTTCTCTGATACATCTTCATCACTAGGCATATAGCAAGCACTATATATCATTTGAATCAAGTGAAATGAAAAACATTCAACTACACTAAAATCAAAAAATGCCAATTAAAATAAGAGGCAAAAAATAGTATTTTGAACAGACTATTAAATCTTAAAATCCTAACACCCAATTATCATGAAGAAAAATACTTTTAAATATACATCAATAAGTATAAATTGGTATAAAATTATTGGCGAACTATTTGGCAGTATCAATCAACTTATTTTAAAAAGGGAGAGGAAGAGAGAGATAGAAACAACAGTGATGAGAGAGAATCATTGATCAGCTGCCACATTGGCAAGGCTCTAAGTAGTTCTTTAAATAGTACTTCTGCCCAGCTGGTGCTGCTCCATAGTTGAGCATCAACCCATAAACGAGGAGGTCATGGTTCAATTTCCTATCAGGACACATGCATGATTGCAAGCTCAATGCCATGTAGGGGGCATGCAGTAGGGAGCTGATCAATGATGTTTATATGTCTCTATCCCTCTCACTTCCTCTTTGTCTAAAAATAAATTTAAAAAATTATTAAAATAATAATACTGATTTATTTTAAAAAGTAAATTAAATAGTATCTCTCACTACTTAATAGATGTTTTATAATGTTTAGTTCATTATTTGGTTTTACAGGTTTTTTGGTGTGTTTTTTTAAATTGATTTTAGAGAAAGAGGGAGAGAGAAATATCGATGTGAGAAACATCGATCGGTTGCCTCTCATAGGCACCTAATTAGGAATGGAACTAGCAATCTTTCGGTGCACAGGACGAAGCTCAACCAACTGAGCCACACTGGCCAGGGTGTTTTTATGTGTGTTTTCATGTTCTTATTTTCTATTCTTCGGTTCATTACTTATCATGTATCTCCACCACCTGAAATGTAAGCAGCATGAGAGCAGTAACAGTGCAAAGTTGCAGCGCCTGGCACCAAGATATTCCAATATTTGTTCAATTCATGTTACAGCTTTATTTATTATAATAAACTACTGACTGGTTAAAATGTATTTATACAGCCCTGACCGGTTTGGCTCAGTAGATAGAGCGTCGGCCTGCGGACTGAAGGGTCCCGGGTTCAATTCCGGTCAAGGGCATGTACCTTGGTTGCAGGCACATCCCCAGTGGGAAGTGTGCAGGAGGCAGCTGATTGATGTTTCTCTCTCATCAATGTTTCCAACTCTCTATCCCTCTCCTTTCCTCTCTGTAAAAAATCAATAAAATATATTTTTTTAAAAATGTATTTATATAGCAATTTACATATGCATCAGCCCAGCCATTGTGGCTCCATGGTTGAATGTTGACCTATGAATCAGGAGATCACCGTTTGGTTCCCAGTGAGGGTACATGCCCGGGTTACAGGCTTGATCCTCAGTGTGGGGAGTGCAAGAGGCAGCCAATCAATGATTCTCTCTCATCACTGATGTTTCTATCTCTCTCTCCCTCTCCCTTCTTCTCTGAAATCAATAAAAATATATTTAAATTTTTTTAAAAAGTTGCATCATACTGAGTGAAAAGCAACTGACAAAATAATATACAATATTTTAACAATAAGCTAATTTTCTTTTAAATCTCTAACAAGAGATCAAATGTGCCAAGTTATTTATCTGGGACCGCCCCAACTCTACCTCCCAAAAAAGTCTCCTCTTTAACTAACAACATACCTGAAGTATACTAATTAAAGAAATATTCTCATAAATCTAGAATTCATTGTTTCTCTAACATAAACACTGCCAATATCCTCCTACCGACCCATCACAGACCATTATAAAAGTAGGGACTTTTCTAAGTATTAACTTAATGTTTTACCCATATACAAAGAAAACTAGCATTCCATGTAAACCTGGAATTATTAGGCCACTCTAATAACCAGATTATATGACTAAAGAGAATAGCTTCTAATCCAACAATATTTGAAAACAAATGTGATGTAATAAATAGCCTAGATGGCACATATGTAAAATATCTTTATTACACAATCTTACTTATGATATTGTTGAGTTTTCTGCATTAGCTTCTCTGGCAAGCCATCTTCATCATCAAACTGCTCCATTGGCTCCACAATGACAGGACGTGGGGTCCTGGACAGGTAAAGAGCATTAACAAGGATTAATACAGTGTCTAAAATTAACATTCGCTTAGCAATGTTTTATAATTCCAAGATATATACTTGGAAACTGTCTCTCAAGATAAATTTCTCAGAACTTAGCATATATACTCAAAAAATCAATTACCATTTGCTGCACCAGACACAGATGAACAACAGAGTCAGACAAAGATGAATGCTTGTTTCTAGAGCACAGAGTCTATTTAAGATGACAGAGAAGTAAACCCACTAAGAACCTTTATGAACATATAGTTAACCTTTAGAAAGTATGAAGGATAAGAATAGGAATGAGTACTTAATACATGTTTTATGTATATGGTATCATGTTCCCATTTCCCACGAGCTCAAACTCCCATCTCTGCCTACCTCTCATAACCTCTGTGTTTAACCAGTCTTCTTTAGAAAAGTCTTTCTAAAACATAAAATGAGACCTAAAAGGTATCAGCCAGGCATAGGGGAAGGAGAGGGAGTCAGAAGATACAACATATTCAAGGAGCAAGATAAGGGGGAGAGGAAATCAAAAAGAGTAGAAAATAATGTAAACTCTAATTGAAAAATTTTTTGCCTTGGCTGGTGAGACTCAATTGGTTGGAGTGTTGTCCCATGCAATTGAGGGTCACAGGTTCAATTCCTAGTCAGGGCACATACCCAAATTGTGGGTTCAATCCCTGGTCAGGTATGCATACAGAAGAAAACTAAATGATGTTTCTCTCTCTCCCTCTCCCGTTCTCTATCTCTAAAATCAATGGAAGCATATCTCAAGTGATTAAAAAAAAAAAAAAAAAAAAAAGACTCCTAGCGGGTTTGGCTCAGTGGATAGAGCGTCGGCCTGTGGACTCAAGGGTCCTAGGTTCGATTCCGGTCAAGGGCATGTACCTTGGTTGCGGGCACATCCCCACTGGGGGGCATGCAGGAGGCAGCTGATCAATCTCTTTCATCGATGTTTCTAACTCTCTATCCCTCTCCCTTCTTCTCTGTAAAAAAATCAATAAAATATATTTTTTTTAAAAAACGCTCATGTGACATCACTTTCATTCACTGCACATTTTTAAATATTTACCAACATAACAGATTTTTTTTAAGTTTGTCTTTCTTTAATTACTAATTAAAAGTGATTTAAAGATCCAGCACGCCCTGCCTGGCCAGTGTTGCTCTATGGTTAGAGCGTCAGCACCAAAGGGTCGAGGGTTCAATTCCCAGTCAGGGGCACATACCTGGGTTGCAGGTTTAATCCCTGTTTCCAGTCGGGGCTCCTGAGGGAGGCAACCAATAGATGTGTCTTTCTCACGTTGTTTCTCTTTCTCTCTCCCCCCGTCCCTGCCTCCTTTCCTTCCTCCTTCTCTCTCTAAAAAAGCAATGAAAAAAATATCCTCGGAGGAGGACTAACAAAAAAAAAAAAATACTTAGCCACAAATGTCTCTCCTGAGTTAAAAGAAAGCCCTAGAAGTTGAAGGAGAATTGGTATATTAGGAAGAGGTAATAAATTCTTTCTCAAAAAAAAAAAATTTAAAAAATGAAAGGGACAAATATATAGCAAATAGATTAATAGGACACATAAGAAGGATTTGAGCTACATCAATATGGGCTTGGATCCCTGATAGGGGGCATACAAAGACAGCCGATAGATGGTTCTCTCTCATATCAATGTTTCTCTCTCTCCTGCCTCTCCCTCTAAAAATCAATTTTTAAAAAATCTTTAAAAAAGCAATTTTTTAAAAAATTTGTTCTTGGATTTACCATAAATAAATAAATAGATAAATAAATAAATAAATAAATAAATAAAGCCCAAAGGTAATAAAATAATTAGTGATATAAAGGAGAAAGTCTAAAAATGTCTTGAAATCTTCCTATAAAACAAAACAAAAAAAGAGTAAATATAAACTCTTAAAGCTTAAAAGAAAACAACAAACTGAAGCACATTCTGAAAAAAACTGTCCTGAACTCTTCAAAAATGCCAATGTCCTACCCGGCTGATATGGCTCAGTGGTTGACCATCGACCTATGAACCAAGAGGTCATGGTCCCTTGTCAGGGAACATGCCTGGGTTTCGGGCTCAATCCCCAGTGGGGGCATGCAGAAGGCAGCCGATCAATGATTCTCTCTCATCATTGATGTTTCTTTCTCTCTCTCCCTCTTCCTTCTTCTCTGAAATAAATTTTAAAAAGAGAAAGGAATACCTTAAGAAGCTTGATGTAAACTTACTTTTGCCCCACTTTAAGAAATAAAAATTAGAAAAAAAAATTTCTTTTAAAGTGCCAATGTCCTGGCACTGACATTTTGTCATTTGGAGAACTATTACAGATAAAGAAAAATGACAACTAAATTCAATTTGATTACTAGATTGAAAAAAGTTACAAAGAATATTACTATGCAGTAGGGAAATTTCAAATATAGACTATATGTTAGAAAACAATACTGAATAAATGTTAAATTTCCTCAGTGTGATAATGATATTGTAGCTTTATGAGAGAATATTCTCAGGAGACACATACCAAGTACTGTATTCAGGGGTATAGTATGAAATCTGTAGCTGATTAACAAATGAATTTGCAAGCAAGATTTGAGTGTATATATAGTATGGGGTGGGTGGGGGGGAATGTGGCAGATGCTAACAATTAGTCAATGCCAATACCATTAAAGGGTTGTTTTAAAGAGAAAATTTCTTCTCCTAACCAAAACTGAAATGGATACATTTTTTTTGCATTTTTCTTTTTAGTCCTCACCTAAGGGTATGTTTTTATTGATTTTGAGAGAAAGCAGGGAAGAAGCATCTATTGACTGCCTCCAACCAGTGATGGAACCCAAAATCTAGACCTGTGCCCTTGACCAGGAATCAAACCCACAACCCTTTGGTATACAAGACGACACTCTAATCAGCTAAGCCACCAGGGCAGAGTCACATTTTTCTGCTTTTAGGGAAGCAACACCAACATTATTATTTATATATATATATTTTTAATTTATTTTATTTTTTTAATTTCAGTGAGGAAAGGAGAGGGAGAGATAGAAACATCAATGATGAGAATCATTAATCGACTGCCCCCTGCACGCCTCCTACTGGGGATCGAGCCTGCTAGACGGGCATGTGACCTTGACCTGAATCAAACCTGAAATCCTTCAATCTGCAGTCCAACAACTCTGAGCCAAACATTGTTTTTAATTATCAGCTGGAAAATGGTAAAAATAGACCATTATACAGGGTGGGGCAAAATTAAGTCTACACTTGCATTATTATTTAATTATTTTCTATACAATCAACTGTAAACCTATTTTTGTTCCCCTCTCTGGAATTTTCATTTAATTTAACCTGCAATAATCATTTCAAAAATTTAAAAAGCTAGAAAGAGAAAAATTTAACTATTGAGCACCTAATCATTCCTGTGCAATTCTAGGCATGAGCATCTCTAATGGTCTAGGTGAGATTCTAATGTTTAACAATGTGGATACACCCTTATTATCAGAAATAAAGGTGTTTAATTTTCCTTCCTCCCCCTCCCCATTTTTCTGCCTCTTGTAATTTCAAAAGAGCATAAGTACATACTTTTGCATATGTTAATTATATATACTGTATAAATACATAAACCATTTGTAATATACAGCATTTTAAGACAATTTAAAGAAATTTAAGAGAAATTTTGATTACACAATATGTCTACATTTAATAAGCAAATCACTTGATTTAACTCAGATGTCTGAGATTCAGTCAGTTCATCAATAAATAATTCATTACCTAGTAAGTACCAAGACTGTACTTGGGGCCAGGAATATAAGGGTAAACAAAATAATCCCTAAAGTCTTCTAAGAGATAAAAGATTGTAAGCAAAATAATCATTTTAAGAGCTATTAGAAAGAATAACAGAGGGAACACACTTTAGATAAGGCAGTCAGGAAATCCTCTCCATGAAGTGACATTTTAACTGAGACCCACTAATCTAGCAGCCGAGAAAACAGCATCCTGAATTCCATGAGAAGGTTTAACTAACAACAAAGTTCCTGAGCATGGAGTCACAGGAAGAATAAACAACTCCACTTGTAGCACAATATAAAAAGCAAGAATTTGCCCTCGCCAGTTTGGCTCAGTGGATAAGCATCCGCCTGAGGACTAAAGGGTCCCAAGTTCCATTGCGGCCAGGGGCAGGTGCCCAGGTTGCAGACTCGATTCCCCCACAGTGGGGGCCATGCAGGAGGCAGCCAATCAGTGATTCTCATCATTTTTGTTTCTATCTCTCTATCTCCCTTCCTCTCTGAAATCAATAAAAATAAATTGTTTTAAAGGCAAGAATTTGCACCGGTAGAGCCCAGTGGTTGAGTGCTGACCTATGAACCAGGAAGTCAAGGTTAGATTCCCAGTGAGGACATATGCTTGGGTTGCAAGCTCAATCCACATCAGAGGGCATGCAGGAGGCAGCCAATCAATGGTTCTCTCATAGATGTTTCTATCTCTCCCTCTTCCTTCCTCTCTCTGAAATCAATAAAAACATTTTTTTTTCAATTTATAAAAAAAAAAATATTAGCATCAGACTAAACTTCACCACTTATTAGCTGAGCAATCTTCTTAAGCAAATTACTTAACATCTCTGGCCTAATTTTCTCACCGGAAACATGGGACAAATAATAGCCAGTGTTGTTATGGAAATCTAAGAGATCACGATTATGAAATATCTAACAGATAATAAAATATTCAATACCTTGCCCATTCCATTAAAACTATTTTTCAATTATTCTAAAAGCTACCTGTAAGAACTTGTTAAATATTTACCAATTCCTACACCCTTGTCTGGCTCAGTGGATAGAGTGTCAACCTGCGAACTGAAGGGTCCCAGGTTCGATTCTGGTCAAGGGTACATGCCTGGGTTGAGGGCTGGATCCCCAGTACAGGGTGTACAGGAGGCAACAGATCAATGATTCTCTCTCATCATTGATGTTTCTCTCTCCCCCTTCCTCTTTGAAACCAATAAAATACATTAAAATAGGTATAAATATATACCTATATATTTACCTAGCCATACAAAATTAAAATGGCTACAAATAAGTACCTCTCAATAATAACCCTAAATGTAAATGGATTAAATGCTCCAATCAAAAGATGTAGGGTAGCTGAATGGATACAAAAACAAGGCCAAACTATATGCTGTCTACAAGAGACCCACCTCAAAACAAAAGACACACACAGGATGCAAGTGAAGGGATGGAAAAAATTTTCCATGCAAATGGAAAAGAAAAAAAAACTGGAGCTCTAACCGGTTTGGCTCAGTGGATAGAGCGTCAGCCTGGTGACTCAAGGGTCCCAGGTTCGATTCTGGTCAAGGCCATGTACCTTGGTTGTGGGCACATCCCCAGTAGCGGGTGTGCAGGAGGCAGCTGATCGATGTTTCTAACTCTCTATCCCTCTCCCTTCCTCTCTGTAAAAAATCAATAAAATATATTTTTTTTTAAAAAAATTGGAGTAGCAATACTCATATCCAAAAAAAAATAGACTTTAAAAGCATCATGCTAAGTGAAATAAGCCAGTCGGAGAAAGATAAATATCATATGATCTCACTCATTTGTGGAATATAATGGACAACATAAACTGATGAACAAAAATAGAGCCAGAGGGGGGAAAAATATCCTAGAATAGAATTAATCCTGTTATTTGCAGATTTTTAATATTTCCTGCAATTTTTGTGATATCATACTATGTTAGTATAGTTCTGGTAATATTATTATACTTAAAATCCTTTTATTCTTGAAATATTAATGTTTATTGCATGTAATATTATTATATATAAGATCATTTTTCTAGAAATTAAAAAAAAAAGAACTTCAATGGCAAACTGAAAGGCATGTTAATTTAGCAACAGGTATAATGACCTTTTTAATTACATAAAATTAATTTTAAGTAAATGGAGAGATATACCATATTCATGGATTAGAAAATGTCAATACTGTGAAAATGTCAGTTTTCCCCAAATGAGCTGTAGACTCAATGTAATTATAATCAAAAGCCCAGGAGAGCCCTGGCTGCCCTAGTTCAGTGGTTAGTGTCAGCCTGCATATGGGAGTATTGGAGGTCCAATCCCCCCGCCCCTCCCTGGAGTGCTTGTGGGAGGCAACCAATAGATGTCACATGAATGTCTCTGTCTCTCTCTCTCTCTCTTTCTCCTCCTTCCCTTTCACTCTGTCTAAAAGCAATGGAAAAAATATCCTCACTCTTTGGGTAAGAAAAAAAGGGCCCAGTAGGATGTTTAATTGACAAACTGATTTTAAAACACAGTAAGGTTATAAAAAGAAAAAATGATAACCAGAAAAAATTTGAAAAACAATAAAGTTGGATGATGCTACCCGATTTCAAAGCTTAGGCTAAAGAAAGTACAGTACAGGTCAAGGAAAGAGAAAAGAGTGCAGGTTTTCTTTTCCAGACTTTTGATAGAGGTAAAAGGTAAAAAAGAAGAAATACTCTTTACAATTAATGGTGTTGGAACAAATGGGTATCTATATGAAAAAAAATGAATTGTTACCTTATATCATACTCCAAATGGATCACAGGTATAAGTAAAAAAAGCTATAAAATCTATCAAGAAAACACGAGAGATGCTTTATTACCTACCTTAGGAAAGGCAATGATTTCATACAACATTACAAAAAGCACAAACAAACCATAAAAGAATATATTTGATAAATTAGACTTCAAAAAATATAAAAATTTCTGCTCTTGAACACTATGAAGAAAATTAAAAACCCACAGACTGGGAGAAATAGTCATAATACACACCTGTATCCAAATTGGTTAATGCGATAAGACAAACCACCCAATTAAAAAAAAAGCTTCACCAAAGATATGAAAAGAGTAAGAGGACATGAAAGATACTCATCATTAATCATTAGGAATATAAAATTTAAACCACAATGAGACACACCTACACTCAGAATATCTAAAAAACAGAGATACTATGAATTGTTGATACAGATATGGAGCAACTAGAACTTTCCCATTCAATGCTGGTGGGAAATTTAAATGATATAACCATTTGGAAGGGTTTGGCAGTTTCTTACAAAGGTGAATATACAGCCATTAACTCTTAAATATTACCCAAGCCACATGAGAACATAATGTTCACAAGTCTTATACACAAATGCTCATCATAGCTTTATTGATAATAGTCAAAATTTGGAAGAAATTTGAATGTCCACCCTTAGGTCACTGGACAAACTGTGGTTATAACCATACGATGGAATACAACTCAGCCATGAAAAAGAACAAAATACGAATACAACAACAAGAATGCAATCTCGTAAACATTATGCTAAGCAAAATAAATCAGACACAAAAGAGTACATACTATATGATTTCATTTTTATGAAATATTAAAAAAGGCAAAACTGATTTATAGTAACAGAAAGATCAATAGTTGGGTAGGACAGGGATAAGGAGTGGGGAATAAATGCAAAAGGACACAAAGGAACTTTTGTTGGATGATGGAAATATTCTTTTATCTTGTAATGGTACATTGTGTAAATATATATGATTTGTTAAAACTCATTGATTTAAAATTGAGTGCATTTTGATGTATGTTAATTATACCCCAATAAAGTTGATGAATATGTCATACTTTCATTCATTATTTAAATATAGAGACATACCTTGTTTTATTGCACTTCACAGATATTGTGTGTTTTTATAATTTGAAGTTTGGGGGCAACCCTGTGTCCAGCAGTCTACCATCATTGCCATTTTTTCAATAGCATTTTCTTTTTTTAAGCAATAAAGTATTTTTAAATTAAAATATGTACTTTAGACATAATGCTATTGCACACTTAATAGACTACAATATAGTATAAACATAACTTTTACATGCACTGGGAAACCAAAAAATTCATGTGACTTGCTTTATCACCATATCTGCTTTATTGTATTGGTTTGAAACTTAACCCAAATTATCTTCACTATAAAATTTTGCTTTGCATATAATAGATGTTCAGAAAGTTAAATGAAAATCATAATCTGAAACATTCCTAAGATTCAAGTATGAATCCATATACTGAAGTTAGATGAAAATATGACCCCAATTCCTAGAGGTACAGAAAAATTCCTTATTAATCTTCACTGAGTATTTACTCAATACCTACTGACCATATGCCAAGACAGTATGAACTATAAGGAAACAGAAATCCAGGACAGAAAGAAACCCATATGTAAAACAAGATATTTAAAACTTACGTTGTTAGCAAGAATGCCCCATCACCACATCTTTCCAGAGCCTTTCGTGCAGGAGGTTTCGCTGCAAATTCTACAAAACCTTTTCCAGTAGCTCTACCACGATCATCCACAACCACAACCGCTTTCTCTACCGGACCAAACTGGGAAAATGCTTGCTCTAGAAGCTCATTGGAAACAACTGGAGAAAGGTTCTTGACAGTCAGGGCTGCTCCATGTGTAGCAAAACGAATTCGGAGAGGTCTGCTCTTCAAAATGGTGCCATCCAGCTCTGCTTTTGCAATTTCAGCCAGTGTTCTGGATTCCTTTTTAGGAGGAAAAATCACTTTTTAATGATATCAACACAAAAAATTTAAAATAGTGGTTTGTTTCTAGGGAGACTCGCTCGGTAGCTTTAGGAAATGACTGATAGAACCACTTTATTTCTGTCTTTCAATTTTGGTAGCACAAAATTAATTAAAGTTAATTTTCAAAGTTAATTAATTTTAGCCCGACCACTTAATGTCAGACCTAAGAACCAAGAGGTCACATTTCAATTCCCATTCAGGGAACATGCCCAGGTTGCTGGCTCGATCCCCTGTAGGGGGCATGCAGGAGGGAGTCAATCAATGATTCTCATGATATTTCTATATCTCTCTCTCTCCTTTCCTCTCTGAAATCAATAAAAACATATAAAAAGTAAGTAATTTTAAATGTTCTAGAAAACCCCAAGCCCAATGTCCTATTAAAAGCCATCACTTAAAGGTTATCTGCTCATAAAAAATTACACACTACTAATTATTCCAAGCAATATATTTTAAAATCTCCTACATATTAAAAGAAATACTGTACATAATTACTATTCAAGACCAAGTACCAATTACTATTACTAAAAACTACTGTAAAAACAAAGTGTTCAGCCCTAATTGGTTTGGCTCAGTGGATAGAGCACTGGCCTGCAGACTCAAGGGTCCCAGGTTCGATTCTGTTCAAGGGCATGTACCTTGGTTGCGGGCACATCCCCAGTGGGGAGTGTGCAGGAGGCAACTGATCGATGTTTCTCTCTCATCGATGTTTCTAACTCTCTATCCCTCTCCCTTCCTCTCTGTAAAAAATCAATAAAATATATTTTTTTAAAAAACAACACCAAAGTGTCCATGCATTTTTTATATTTATCTTTTTTTGCATTGATATTTTAGAGAACAAGAAAAGGAGAGAAATATCAATGTGAGACACACTGATGGGCTGCCTCCTGCATGTCCCCTACCAGGTACGTATCCAGCCCCAACATAGTCATGTGCCCAGGCCAGGAATCAAACCGGAAAACTTTCCATGCGTAGGACGAAGCCCAATCAACTGAGCCACACCAGTCAGGGCAATATTTATCAATATCTTTTTTTTTTTAAATATATTTTATTGATTTTTTACAGAGGGGAAGGGAGAGAGATAGAGAGTTAGAAACATCGATGAGAGAGAAACATCGACCAGCTGCCCCCCGCACATCTCCCACTGGGGATGTGCCCGAAACCCAGGTACATGCCCTGGACTGGAATCGAACCTGGGACCCCTCAGTCCGCAGGCCGACGCTCCATCCACTGAGCCAAACCGGTTTCGGCTATTTATCAATATCTTAATAAAACATCTACCTCTCCAATGTCAGACAAATCGCCTTTCCTTTCTATTTCCATTTTTCTGTTATACTAGAGGCCTGATGCACAAAATTCGTGCAAGAGTAGGCCTTCCTTCCCCTGGCTGCTGGCACCGGCTTCCCTCTGGCACCCCGGGAACTGGGCTTCCCTCGCAGCCCCAGCTTCGTCTGGAAGGACATCCGGTCTAATTAGCATATTATGCTTTTATTATTATAGACTAAGAAGCCAACCACTCGCCTGCCTACCTGATCACCCCTAACTCCTCTGCCTGCCTGGCTGATCACCCCCAATCACTCACCTGCCTGCCTGATTGCCCCTAACCACTCACCTGCCTACCTGATCACCCCTAACCACTCACCTGCATACCTGATCACCCCAACCCCTCCCCCTGCCTGCCTGATCACCCCAACTGCTCGCCTGCCTGCCTGATCGCCCCTAACAACTCTGCCTGTCTGCCTGATCGCCCCTAACTACCTCTGCCTCGGCCCCCGCTGCCTCGGCTTCGTCCAGAATGATGTCCGGAAGGTCGTTTGGCTGTCAGGTCTAATTAACATACTACATTTTTATTATTATAGATCAGCCGTGGGCAAACTACGGCCCGCGGGCCGGATCTAGCCCGTTTGAAATGAATAAAACTAAAAAAAAAAAAAGACCGTACCCTTTTATGTAATGATGTTTACTTTGAATTTATATTAGTTCACACAAACACTCGATCCATGCTTTTGTTCCGGCCCTCCGGTCCAGTTTAAGAACCCATTGTGGCCCTCGAGTCAAAAAGTTTGCCCACCCCTGTTACAGATTATCTGTGAAAACTATCAGGTATTGTTAATCACTTCTGCAGAAATACTTTCACGAGCTACACATTTCTCAGCATTATACTGAAAGAAGCACACACACATACACATTCATGGGTTATAAGAATTCTCTCCATTTCATAGAAAAGCAAGTGCACATGCACTTATAAACTAGAAACCACAAAAGATACTTCTTGAAAAGAAAGTATAGAATGTAGGCATATAAAACAATAAACAACAAACTGGTAAACTTAATAATGCACGTACAGTGGGGCCTTGACTTACCAGTGTCCCGACTAACGAGTTTTTCGAGATACAAGCCGTCTCTCAGCCGATTTTTTGCTTTGAGTTGCGAGCTAAAATTCAGGTTACGAGCCAGCTTCAGATACCCCACCGCTAGTTGGCGCAGCAAACGTCACAGTGAACACCAGAACATCAGCCCAGCATCACGTGTCTCACTCATTCACTGTTGATTTGACATACGAGTAACTGCTCCACCACGGAACGAATTAAACCCGTAAGTCAAGGCCCCACTGTATGTTCTTTTTCTTTGTGTTGTGAGAACTCTCCAGAGAGATGTAAAAGAGTATTTATGTGCATTTGTAAGAGTACAAATATACTATCTTATAAAAAAAGTTTGAAGGTCATAAGAGCTCTTTATTCAATCCCTAAAATGTTAACAACAGCTTCAAAGTACTACACTTATGCAAAAATCTATCTACAAAGCTAATATTACAAAGACAAATGAATCCAACATTTTTACAGATATTCAAAATGGACACTTTCTTTTTTACTCTTAATAGAAGTAGTACTAGCAAATATTTAATGAGTATCTAACTAGGGATAGTTACTATGTATTTAATATATCATATAAACTAACAATGCTGTGAAGTACATTTTAGGAATGGAGTCTTGAATTTAAATGCTGTCAGGTATAATTGAGAATGGGAAGGAACATAAGGAAATGTCACAGGATGGTGATAATGTTCTATATCTTGATAGGAGTTTGAATTAAACAGATGAATGTAATTACCTAAAATCACCAAATCAGCCCTAGCCCATTTGTCTCAGTGGATAGAGCGTTGGGGCAGACTGAAGGGTCCCAGGTTCACTTCCAGTCAAGAGCATGTACCTCCATTGCAAGAGGCAACCAACTGATGTGTTTCTCTCACATCGATATTTCTGTCTTCCCCTCTCTCTTACAATCTCTAAAAATAAATGGGAAAATATCCTCAGATAAGGATTTTTTTAAAAATCACCAAACCATACACTTAAGAGTTGTGCATTTTACTGTATGTAGATTTCAAATACCTTAAAAAATAATACTGGCCCAGACATGGTGACTCAGTGGTTGAGTGTCTACCTATGAACTAGGAGGCCACGGTTCAATTCCCGGTCAGGGCACATGTACGGGCTGCAGCTAGATCCCCATTGTGAGGCATGGAGAGGCAGCTGATCATGACACTCTCTCTCCTCTCCTTTCCCTTCCTCTCTGAAATCAAATAAAGATATATTAGCCTGACCGGTTTGGCTCAGTGGATAGAGCGTTGGCCTGCGGACTGAAGGGTCCCGGGTTCGATTCCAGTCAAGGGCATGTGCCTTGGTTGCGGGCACATACCCAGTGGGGAGTGTGCAAGAGGCAGCTGATCGATGTTTCTCTCTCATCGATGTTTCTTATTCTCTATCCCTCTCCCTTCCTCTCTGTAAAAAATCAATAAAATATATTAAAAAAAAGATATATTAAAAAAAAACAAAAAACTGGACTTTAGCATTTCAGAGTCATGGACTGATGAATAAAAAGAAATGAACCAGGTATGTGAAATAACATACAGCCTGACTAGTGTGGCTCAGTGGATTGAGCATCGTCCCATGGACCAAGAGGTCCCAGGTTCAATTCCCAGACAGGGCACATGCCCAGGTTAAGAGCTCAATCCCCAGTAGAGGGCATGCAGGAGACAGCAGACTGATGTTTCTCTCTCTTCCTCTCCCTTTCTATCAATGAATCAATAAAAATATTTAGCCGCCGCCCATGAGGAAGTAAGTGGCGGCAGGTCCCAGAGCCGGTTCAGCATGTCGACTGCCCAGAGTCCGAGGCCAGGAGCCCGGAGGAGCTGAGAAGCCATGGCCTACCACAGCTTCCTGATGGAGCCCATCAGCTGCCACGCCTGGAACAAGGACCGCACACAGATTGCCATCTGCCCCAACAACCATGAGGTGCACATCTATGAGAAGAGTAGAGCCAAGTGGGTCAAGGTGCAAGAGCTCAAGGAGCACAACGGGCAGGTGACAGGCATTGACTGGGCCCCTGAGAGTAACCGCATTGTGACCTGCGGCACAGACCGCAATGCGTATGTGTGGACACTGAAGGGCTGCACGTGGAAGCCCACCCTTGTCATTCTGCGGATCAACCGGGCTGCTCGCTGTGTGTGCTGGGCCCCCAATGAAAACAAGTTCGCTGTGGGCAGCGGCTCCTGTGTCATCTCCATCTGCTATTTCGAACAGGAAAATGACTGTGGGTGTGCAAGCACATCAAGAAGCCCATTCGCTCCACCATCCTCAGCATGGACTGGCACCCCAACAACGTGCTCCTGGCCGCAGGCTCCTGCAACTTCAAGTGCCGGATATTCTCAGCCTACATAAAGGAAGTGGAGGAGCGAACAGCACCCACCCCATGGGGCTCCAAGATGCCTTTCGGGGAGCTGATGTGCGAGTCCAGCAGTAACTGCGGATGGGTGTACGGTGTCTGCTTTTCAGCCAGTGGCAGACGCGTGGCCTGGGTCAGCCATGACAGCACGGTGTGCCTGGCTGATGCTGACAAGAAGATGGCAGTCACAACTCTGGCCTCTGAAACGCTGCCACTGCTGGCCGTGACTTTCATCACAG